ATGTCTATAGACTGATGAATGGACAAAGATGTGGTATATACACGTACAAGGAATACTACTCAACCATCAAAAAGAATGAAATCTTGTCATTTGCAATGACGTGGTTGGAGCTAGACAGTATTATGCTAAGTGAAATAGAGAAAGAAATACCATATGATTTCACTCATATGTGGAATTTAAAAAACAAACCAGAGGAACATATGGGCAGGAAAGTAAAGATGCAGAACAGATTAGTGCTTGCCTGGCCTTGGCGGTAAGGGGTGGAAGAAGCTTGTGACAGTAAAGAAGTAGTAGGGATCCTTGTGATGAAACAGTTCTGTGTCTTGATCCTGGTGATGGTTACATGAATCTATCCAACTGATAAAACTGCAGAGATACTAAAGTGAATGTAAAACTGCTGAAATCTCGGGCGCCTGGGTGCCTCAGATGGTTAAGCGTCTGCCTTCGGCTCAGGTTATGATCCCAGGGTCCTGGGATTGAGTCCCACATTGGGCTCCTTGCTCACCAGGAAGTCTGCTTCTCCCTCTGCCTCTCCCCCTGCTTTCTCTCTCTCTCTCGCAAATGAATAAATAAAATCTTAAAAAAAAAAAAAACTGCTGAAATCTGAATAAGGTCTCCAGATTGTACCGCTGTTATTTTCCTGCTTCTGATATTGTACTGTAGTTATGTAATGTGCTACTGATATGGGAAACAAAGGCAAAAGAAAAATGAAATTTCCTTACTACTTGCAGCCCATTGACAAGTCCTTGAAACAGGTAAAGTGAGCTTCCTCCGGGAGCTCAGCTGCCTTGATGCTGACCCTTTGCTAGGGCAAAAGGCAATCTTAGCCAGACCCCCCAGAGTCCTATAAGTCTACTTTTTTTTTTTTAAGATTTTATTTATTTATTTGACAGAGAGAGACACAGCGAGAGCAGGAACACAAGCAGGGGGAGTGGGGGGAGGGAGAAGCAGGCTTCCTGCCGAGCAGGAAGCCCGATGCGGGGCTCGATCCCAGGACCCTGGGATCATGACCTGAGCCAAAGGCAGATGCTTAACGACTGAGCCACCCAGGCGCCCCTAAGTCTACTTTAAACATACAGAAATTCCTTTGGAAACTTCCTTGATCTCTATTCCCAGAGACACATGTTAGCAATCATCCTCTAAGCATATGGCTCACTGATATACACCTGAAGTGTCTCTTGACTAAGGTTTCATTAAACGGTAATAAATGACCTTTTCCTAACAATAGCTAGCCCCCTCAAGGTCCTGGAAACCTTGCTTCCAAAATTCCTTAGAGACTTAAGCTTCCCTCACCCCCTCCCAACTTGAAAGTCTATAATCAGTCACCTGTCATAACCCCAGTGCAGCTCAGCTCTTTCCGCCCCTAGGCCCGTCCCTGTGCTTTAATAAAACCACCTTTTTGCACCAAAGATGTCTCAAGAACTCTTTCTTGACGTGTGTTTCGAACCCCAACATTTCCACATCATCAGCATTGGGGAAAATTGGATGAAGGGTATAATAAGACTTCTCTGTACTATTCTGGCAACTTGTTGCAAATCTACAATTATTTAAAAATAAAAAATAAATATTAGAGAAGTGCAAATCAAAACCACAGTAAGATATCACCTCACACCCATTAGTACCAAGTATTGGTAGGATATAGAGAAACTGGAACCCTTGTACATGGCTGATGGCTATGTAAAATTGTGTAGTCATTATGGAAAATGGTATGGAGGTTCCTCAAAAAGTTAAAAACAGAATTACCATATAATCCAGCAATCCCCCTTCTGAGGATATATTCAAAGGAACTGAAAACAGGATCTCAGAGAGATATTTGCACACCCATATTCACTGCAACATTATTCACAATGGCCAATAGGTGGAAGAGACCCAAATATCCATAAGCAGATAAATACAATATGGTATATTCATACAATGGACTATTAACCTTAAAAAACAAAGAAATTTGTCACATGTATGGATGAAGCCTGAAGACATTATACTAAATGAAATAAGCCAGTCATCAAATAAAAACAAATACTGTTATGAATCCACTTTTATAAGGTATCTAAAGTAATCAGAACCATAGAAACAGAAGGAAGAATACTGGGTACCAGGGCCTGGAGGTGGGTAGAAATGGGGAGTGGTAGTTAAGTGGGTATAGGGTTTCAGTTTTACAAGATGAAAAAATTCTAGGGGCGCCTGGGTGGCTGAGTCAGTTGCGCGTCTGCCTTCAGGTCATAATCCCAGGGTCCTGGGATCAAGCCTCATATCGAGCTCCCTGCTCAGCAGAGAGCCTGCCTCTCCTTCTCCCTCTGCTGCTCCCCCTGCTTGTGCTCTCTCTCTTTCCCTCTGTCAAATAAATGAATGAAATCTTTCAAAAAAAAAAAAAAAGATGAAAAAATTCTAGAGCTCTATAACACAATAATGTGAAATATAGTTAATACCACTTAACTGTACACTTAAAAATGGAAAAATGAGGGCGCCTGGGTGGCTCAGTCGTTAAGCGGCTGCCTTCGGCTCAGGTCATGATCACAGGGTCCTGGGATCAAGTCCCACATCGGGCTCCCTGCTCAGCGGGAAGCCTGCATCTCCCTCTCCCACTCCCCCTGCTTGTGTTCCTGCTCTCACTGTCTCTCTCTGTCAAATAAAATCTTTAAAAAATAATAATAAAAATAAATAAATAAATGGAAAGAGGATAAATTTTATAGTATTTTTTTTTAAGCTGAAGCAAAATAAAATGTTCGATTTAATAAAGTTGGGTGCTGGTTATATGGTGTTGGTTATAGTATCTCCAATTTTCATTTATGTAATATTCCATAATAAACATTTTAAAGTAGCTATGTTTTATTGGACAGATTTCATAATTTTAAGGCCCAATGTAAAGACAATACAGAAATTTTTCCCTGTGTTCATTTGGACATCCAATATCAAAGTTTCTAACTTGCTGGTAATGAATCAGGAGTCTCGTAATTCTATTGAGATAAATGACAAGCCACCAATTAACTCCGTATTTTACATATCAGATGATAATGTCCAGAAAACAACCGTGAATTTATCATTGGAAGCACAGTTTTCTCACAGATTTTTATTAAAAGACATCTAGCCAAGTAAAATGACTTAGATTCTTTTTTTTCTTTTTAAAAGGAACTGCCTAGGCAAAAAACATTTGCCTACGGAAAATAAATGCTGGCTTTTTGCTGTGTATTTTGGTGCCTGAGGCTGTCACGAAACTGGGGTGGTTTTTTTCCAATTGAACAAAAGGTAAAATTGCAATTCATTCACTGAACAAACATATTGAGCACAATGCCAAGTATTATGCTAAATTATCAAATTCCCGGTCTTTGGAGAAGAAGGATTTTGTCATCCTATTCTCTGATTTGTTTACAAATTATCTTTTACAATTTGCTACCAGAAATGACCTTATTACTAGATGTTCACTTGATAAACAGACCATAAAAAATTCACCTTGTTTTACAAGGACAGCGCTTGTCTTCCTTGTGAAAACATTTTGCTTTGTTGAGGTTACCAAACGTCCCACTTTGGGAAACCATTAAACCAGGATGCTGTATGACTAAATTGGTTCTGGCAATCGCTAGAAGCCCGGAATGAAGTCATCCTATACGTCAGGAGATCTCCATTCTAGATTATTCTACCACTCAACCTCTGTGACTCAGGAGAAGCTGTTAACTGGTGACATAAGCTCAGACTCATTGTTAGTCTAACAAAAATTTAAATTCATACTTTGTGAAAAAGAAACCTTTCGTCAGCGACCTCCAAGTCCAAAATGATCTTAAAGAAACTTTTTAATTTTTATCTGTTATTCAAGTAAATCGATCTTACCAAGTTTTAGCTCATTTAACTTAAGCTTTGTTAACGCATCATATACCTATCTATACCGTAAAGTCATTGACATCGTTTTGGCATATGATGCTTAGAAATGCTATATTTTAATGACTAACGACCTTTTCTAAGTGGTATGTAGCCGATTGGCATTAACGTGCAAATCTTCAGACTACTCCTTACTTAGGAAGGTTGGTATTACGCCACAAACAGCCCTGCATGTTTATTTACACCCCCGGCTCAATGACTCAGACTCTGGCCACGTGTCACCGAGATCCCAATGCCCCTGCCTTACTCACGTTCCTCGGGTTATCTCCTTGCGGGACATGGGGCCCCACCCAGGGCGTAGGGAAACCAGCCAGAGGGGTCGTAGCTGGGAAACTCCTCCTTTACTGTCGCTTGAACGACAAACACGTTTACGGGAGAAACACTATTTTCTTGTACACGAATTCCACGTCCCCCGAGGCGGGTTTTCGGCTGCCCCATCCGCAGCTCTCTTTTTCCCTAACCAGAGTTCGGTGAAACCGCAAGGTGGGGAAGAGACTGCAGGTTTCGCCGGAGCCAGACCTCAGCCCGCCACCGTTGTCACCGGGAGCCCGAGCCTCGCCTCTCTGGGCCTCCGCCGGGGGAGGCCGAGCACCGCCGCTCCCCCCCCGCCACGGTCCCGCCACCAGCGTCTAGCTTACAGACTCTCCTCGGAGCCCTTGTGGGAATCGAGAAGGACAAAAGCATTCTGACTCTTTAAAAAAAAGTGTCATTAAAGCTCCTTCACCCTGCTATAAGCTAGTGCAAAAATAAAACCAGCCAGTACGGTTCGCGTTAAGATGGGGGTGGGGGCAGGTTGTGCTTCCACAGCAGACATTGACAAAAAAACCAGCAGCGGGCCGCGCCGCTGAGCGCCTCCGAACCAGAACCGGGACGGCCTTCCCGGGAAAGTCGCCGCGGAGGACCGTTTATCCTAACGTAAAGCCGGAAAAACCTAAGAATTAAGTGGGGGTTGGGACTTCGGAGGCGGGAGCAAAGGACCCCTCCTCCCTCTCCGGCCGGAAGCACCCTTTTCGCAAAGGCGCGCCTCTGTGGCGCACGCGCACTGAGTTACTTAGCAACGTCGGCGCTAAACCACCTCAGCTGCGAGCCCAGCAACAACCGAGGCGCCGCGTCTCCCACCAATCAGCGCCGGCCTCGCCTTCATACGCTTCACCAATCAGCGCCGGCGCCGCAAGGAAGTTTCGAGAGCTTTCGAGGGAGGACCCCTTAACTCAAATCCATCCGCCAGATAATATTCCTACTTTTTCCTAAGGGAGGAGACGAGTCGCCTGGAAAAGAGGGGAGCTGATTTTTTAGGGTTCTTTCTTCGGCTCTGAGGAACTTGGGGCTCAGTGGCAGGGTCTAATTGGGCCGCGGGAGGTGGGGCCGACGGAACTACTTTCAGCAGCGTACGGACACGGCGGCTACGTGGGCAGTGATGAGTGACGCAACAGACGCCGCATAAATTTCAGCCCCGCGGAGCCGCGGGCGTTCAGGAGCGGCTGGCGTTGTAGAGTCTCGGTCTGTTGCGGTCTGGGTGACTCGACGTGATTGCGTCCAGTGTCTTTGCGTTCGCTAACAGGTACTGGCTGGCAGCCTTCGAGACCGAGGAGGAGTGGAGAGGGGCCCTGAGTGAGCCCAGGCTGGCGGATTCGGGGGTCGGGAGGGGCCCCTCAGGGAAGGGGGTTGGGGGAGGGGAGGGCGAGGTGACGCTGCGCTGCGGCGCCGGGCCTTTCCGGAAGAGTGGGCCTTGTTTACGTGCAGGGAGCGGGGGCGGTTGGCGCGCGCGCCGGCAGAGACCAACCGGCGCTCAACCAATGGAGATTCCATCGCATCTGCTTCAGCGGGGGAAGGCGGAAAGGAGGTAGTCTAGTGTGATTCCCCAAACTGTCTGGATTTTGAATCCCAACGCGGTGAAAGGGTCCCACCTCATTTTTGTTCAAACAGCAGTTTCCATCACCCAGTTTCGTGGGTTTTTTCTCCCCGCCCCCAATCTTACGTATTTCCTCAGGTGTTGGGAATATTTCGGGGGTGTGGGGGAAGACGATTTAGCGAAGGGTCTAGAGTAGTTAAGGCTCTGGATATTAACCTTTGGGGTTCTTTCCTTTTTTGGGGGCTTTCCCGTTTTTAAGTTGAAGCCTTGACTAAAAATTGTTTTCAGCAGCTTATTTAAGAAGACTAGTAAAGGGGGGGGGTTGTGAGCGACGTTAATGTGGTTAAAGCACTTGGAAGATGAAATTGTTAGCTTTGGAGAATTGGTTATATCTGTAGGTGTTTTTTAAGGATTCATTTATTTTAGAAGTAGGGGGGAGAGCGAGAATCCCAAGCCGGCTCCATGCTCAGCGCAGAGCCTGACTCGGGGCATCCATATCATGACCTGAGCAGACACAGAGTCAGACGCTAAACCCACTGAGCCGCCTAGGCGCCCTGGTAATACAAAGGTCTTGAGATGGTATACAAACATTGTCTTTTTAAAATCTAGGTCAAAATGCAGATCTTCGTGAAGACCCTGACCGGCAAGACCATCACCCTGGAGGTGGAGCCCAGTGACACCATCGAAAATGTGAAGGCCAAGATCCAGGATAAAGAGGGCATCCCCCCTGACCAGCAGAGGCTCATTTTTGCCGGCAAGCAGCTGGAAGATGGCCGCACTCTTTCTGATTACAACATCCAGAAAGAGTCGACCCTGCACCTGGTCCTGCGCCTGAGGGGTGGTATGCAGATCTTCGTGAAGACCCTGACCGGCAAGACCATCACCCTGGAGGTGGAGCCCAGTGACACCATCGAAAACGTGAAGGCCAAGATCCAAGATAAAGAGGGCATCCCCCCTGACCAACAGAGGCTTATCTTTGCCGGCAAGCAGCTGGAAGATGGCCGCACTCTTTCTGATTACAACATCCAGAAAGAGTCGACTCTCCACCTGGTTCTCCGTCTTAGGGGTGGCTGTTAATTCTTCAGTCTTGAATTCATAGTGCCCAGTGATGGTATTGCTCTGCACTATAGCCATTTGCCCCAGTTTAAGTTTAGAAATTACCAGTTTCAGTAATAGCTGAATCACTGGTTTTCTCAATAGCTGTTCAAAATGTTAATAAAAGTTCTGTTGCATGGTAGCATATTTGGTGTCTGTCGTGAAATTAATGTAGTGGCGTGGGGACTCTGACCTGCTTAAAACCTCTGTTCAAGGAAGGGACTTAGCATTCAGAATGTCAGTTTCAACAAGATAAGTCATTTTGGTTAAGAAAAAGGTATGTTGAGTTGAGGAAAATTTGTCCATTCAAGGTCATTTATGAGTTAACGATTCTGATGTAATGGGAAACCATTTCAGATGTATTGCACAATTAAAAATTACCGAATATGGAGGCTTATTGAGGGAAAGCAAACTTGCCTACCTTCCCCTTAAATAGTGGTAAACTAAGGTAAGCATTGAAAGGAAATTTTGGTTGAGGCTGCTGGGTTGTGCTGCCAAGTGCTGTGATTATTGGTTGACTGCTATTCTTGCTGTCTAGTGCATTACACTCAAGTTCTGACCATAGGTTGTGAGACCCTAATTTTTTTCTCCAGTACATGAACTCCGAGCCAAGAATGAAGTGGAGTCCTGGTCAACAGGTTTGAAAGAACTCAAAGGTTTGAGAGTATCCTGATCTAAGGCAACTTGCTGATTTTGGTCTTAGGCAGCAAGTGAAGGTGGTTCCTAAAAGTAAGCTGTGCCCAATATGGGGCTTGAACTCAAGGCTGTTGAGATCAAGTTGCATGTTCTAACTGCTAGGCACTTCTCTCCCCCGCCTCCTTCATTGGTCTTTAACTGATTAGCTTTACATTTTTGTTAAGGAGAATGATAAAACAGCAAATGTATCTGAGACTTGATAAAAATCTACTTTTGTGTGAGTAGACAGTAAGCTGTTCTTAAATTTCCATACCGATAAACACTAGGTGTATGTTTCCAATACTAAAGTTTGAAGGAGTAAGAATCTACTTGGATGGGAGGGTACCCTTTATTATTTCTTGTTTTAAGATTTTATTTATTTGAGAGAGGGGGAGAGAGAGCACATGAGAAGGGGGAGGGTCAGAGGGAGAAGCAGACTCCCTGCTGAGCAGGGAGCCCGATGTGGGACTCGATCCCGGGACTCCAGGATCATGACCTGAGCCGAAGGCAGTCGCTTAACCAACTGAGCCACCCAGGCGCCCGGGGTACCCTTTATTAATGCCTTAAATTCTCTACCTCTTTGCCCTTCACAATTCCTGTACTGTAACTTCTGTAAATAGCAACTGGGGTTTTCAACTTTGGACAAAATTGGGAGTTGCAGTGAGTGCAATGAAAGGGGAAGTTGGAAGCCCTCTTGAGTTTTCCCAAGTTAATGCTAGTAGGAAAATAAAAACTTGGGATTTCAAGTATGCTGTTAGAGCATTTTTTTTTCTTTTTTTGATTGATTTGACAGCATAGCAGGGAGAGAGGCAGAGAGAGAAGCTGGAAGCCTGACGTGGGGACTCGATCCCGGGACTCTGGAATCATGACCCCAGCCAAATGCAGATGCCTAACCAACTGAGCCACCCAGGCACCCATGGGAGTAAGAACATCTTAAATCATCCAGAGGTGTGTCATAAGGAAGCCGCTGTACATCATGTCTAGAAACAGTTGTGATAGTCCAGGTATAGATGACAGTGGTTTCCTGCATAATTTTGGGAACTGTCTTGTAGTTTTTCTGCCCTAGAAATCCACTTAAACTTGAATGTAAAATACTAAATTGGAGTACTGAACTAAGGGTTTCTTTTTAAGTTAGACACTGGGAATACTATTTAATGGGCTGTTTCAGTGACTATTTCAGCACCTTAGAGTGGTAATAAAATGCTTGGGCCAGAGGGCAAAAACAGCTATATTAAACTTTTGGAGGTGGTGATGAAAAATAAATCCTTCCTCAGATAGAACACCATTTTATTTTTTTTTTAAGATTATTTATTTGACAGAGACAGAGAGAGAGGGAACACAAGCAGGACGAGTGGGAGAGGGAGAAGCAGGCCTCCCGCGGAGCAGGAAGCCCGATGCAGGGCTCCATCCCAGGACCCTGGGATCATGACCCAAGCCGAAGGCAGACGCTTAATGACTGAGCCGCTCAGGTGCGCCCCCCCCCCGCATTTACTTTTAGATGGGAAGGATTTCACTCTTGGAAAGTGACATCCTTTTCCATTCCCAAAATTTTACAGTTGACTTGCGCAACTCTAGTTAAGCCAGGAACTCAAATCCAAGTGTCCTGCCAACTATGGGTTAGATAACTCAAGATCCATGATGTTTTTTGTTTCATTCATTCATTCATTCATTCATTCATTCATTCATTCATTCATCATTCTTCATTCTTCATTCTTCATTCTTCATTCTTCATTCATTCTGAGAGACAGAGAGGCAGAGGGAGAAGCAGGCTCCCAAGGAGCACGGAGCCCGATGCGGGGCCCGATCCCAGGACTCTGGGATCATGACCTGAGCTGAAGGCAGACGCCCAACCATCTGAGCCACCCAGGCGCCCCACGATGTTTTATTAGATTCCTTTTCAGCATGTCCTCAAACTAGTGCTTTCAAGCAGGCTATTTGGTGAATAGTCAGCAGAATAAGAACAGGCCTTTTGCTACAAGTGAAGCTGGGTTTCAAAGATCAGCCTTGTTCTTTCCCACATTTTGCTTTGCACTTAATAAAACCCTTGATTTGAAAACCTTAGAATGAAAGTATTTCACTGACCTGGATGGTCTGCCTTCGGCTCAGGTCATGGTCCCAGGCAGATGGGAGAAAGCCCTGCATCGGGCTCCCTGCTCAGCAGGAAGTCTGCTTCTCCCTCTCCCACTCCCCCTTGCTGTGTTCCCTCTCTGCTGTCTCTCTCTGTCAAATAAAATCTTATTTTTTTAAAGATTTTATTTATTTGAGAGAGAATGAGAGCGCAAGAGGGAAGAGGGTCAGAGGGAGAAGCAGACTCCCTGCTGAGCAGGGAGCCCGATGTGGGACTTGATCCCGGGACTCCAGGATCATGACCTGAGCCGAAGGCAGTCGCTTAACCAACTGAGCCACCCAGGCGCCCAAAATAAAGTCTTAAATATATATATATATATTTCACTGAATAAAAATCCGGTGCTGGTTTGGGCAATAGGACTTGCACAGTTACATTATTTCTCCCAAATCTGCGCTGTCTTGATAGGCTTGCAGCTCTGTGTAGTCTTCTGAATCTCAAAGATTTCAGCTTATACTGTTTAATTTTCTCAGAATCTCTTTCTATAGGGGTTCCCTACAAATTCATGGGTTTAGCAAATCCTCTCTGCACACAACTTGAAATTTGACCAAGGGGAATGCTCTCTGTGTTGGTATTCAACAACCTTGCTATCAGTTGAGTTTGGGAAATGAGTTTATCGCTCGTGGCCTCAAACCTTGCACTACACTGAACAAAATTGAGGCCAATTATACTTTGTGGCTCCTGTTCACTTCTCTTGACTACCAGTAAGGTACCAGCAATGCCAGGGGAAATGTGACTGGGAATGGACTTTTGCTTTTGGGATGTTCTAGGAAGGGATGGGAGAGGTGATAAAGATTTGTTCATGTATCTGAATCCAAGACAACTCATTTTTATCACCTATTCAACTTAATGTTCTTTGTCCACCTAGAGTTAGTTCCTCATCTAACTGCGAAGAGATACAGTTCTCACTTGCAGTGTTAGTCTAGATGCCAAAAAGTCCATGGGAAGGAAGAGACCTATATTCTGCTACAGTCTGTGGGTGCAAGTACCCCACCTGCCTTTTAAGGAAATGTTTCCCTTCTACTTAGGAATCCAATAAAAGAAGGGTTTCTGTTAATACATTCTTCCTGAAAGAGTGCTCATACCTGTGTGCAAACATGTGCTAAAAGAGGGGCCCTGGCTGGGTCAGTCAGTAGAGCATGTGACTCTTGATCTTGGGAGTTGTAAGTTCGAGCCCCATGTTGGGTGTAGAGATCACTTATAATCTTAAAATAAAAAGTGCTAAAAACTTGCTTCGTATACTGAAGGCAGTAGGTCGCAGGTGCCAGTCTATCCAGATTCCACTCCAAGATAGTTTTTGCCAGTTCTTGGTGAAATGAAATAAAAAAAAGAACACAGTGAATTTTGCATAATTTAAAAGGTTATATGCTCTTGGTGTGTAAAGATGTTACAATGGACTGATTGAGAGTGTGGCTCTGGAGACAAGACTACTTGAGTTCAAATCGCTCCACCACCTACTGGCTTGTAACCTTGGGCAACTAATTTATCCTGTTACATCAGATTCCTCATCTATAAAAATAGTGTTAATTACACCCATCTCAGAATAGTTAGGAGGATTACATGTTAAAGTGCTTAAAACAATGCGAACACTTGCCTAGTGCTTATAATGCTATTTATTGCACAAACAAAATTGGAAATGACCTAATTGCCCACGAAAGGAGAGTGGTTACATTATAATAATGCAATAATGAATGCAGGAGGTAGGAACTGACATGGAATAACATTCAAGTAAGTGAAAAATGCTCTAGAGAATAATGTGCATGTGTGCATAAACATGCGGAAAGGTGGACCCCTGTTTAACATTGGCTGCTTCAGGAGGGTAAAGGGGAATGTATTTTAATTTTGGGGGGTGCGGGCCCTCAGAAGTTGAGGGGAGAAGTTCACTCCAGCCAGTAGGTCTCACCCAACCCCTATAATTGATTCTAGCATCTACTCTTCTGACCACCAAACACCTACCAGGACTCCTCTTAAGGAATATTTTTACCTTCAGAAAATTCTGGTTTCAGTGTTTCCCAAACTTTGTCCTCCGAACCACAACCACTGTGAAAAGGATGCTGTGGTCACAAGAGCTCGGGAGGTTGTTGTCTCCCTCGTGGAGACTTACAATGTTCACTAGCAGGTTAAAGGCTCTAAGTTTTGTTTTGAAGAACTGGTTTGATGTTTAACCCAGTGTTTTCCAATAGAAACAATGTTCAAGCCACGACCTCTCCCCTGCCTCCCTGACTAGTACTGCGGATGGTGCTTGATTCCAGTATTAATTTTTTTTAAAGATTTTATTTATTTAAGATAGAGAAAGAGCAAGAAAGCTGCAGAGGGAGAGAGAAGCAGACCCCCTGCTGAGCAGTGA